TGAATGTGAAAGATACTCTATTACTAATAAAAGATATTTGAATCTATTTAAGATAAAGTATAGATGAAAGAGATATTATATTATTAAAGAGAATCTCTTTATACATGAAAGAGCATCTTCATACATATTATCTTACATTTAAGAGGAATAATAATAATACATTTAAGGAAGAATTTCTTCACATATAAATAATGTCATTTTTCTTTAAAGGGAGCACTAGAAGAAACAATAAAATTAGAAATTCTTTAAGGTTGTGTTTGATTGAGGTATAAATGTGAATCGACATAAAACTTAACCATCGATTCGCATTTACACTTATTTATTTTCGGTGTAAAACCCTATACCTGGTCCACTTTTGCAACTATTTATTTTAATCATGTTTTTTAGTTGATTTTTACATTGGTAATTGATATAATTAAATAGGGGTGACAAATAGGGTGGATTGGGTTGAGTTAGATAAGAGTTGAATACAAACTTATCCATATTGACCCACCAACCCACTATAACCTATCATCATTCCTCGTTAAAGAGTCATAACTCACCATGACCCACTTAAATTGACCCACTTGACCCATCCATATTAACCCTTAATCACATTCGCCCATACTAACTCACCTACCCTCACTTATAAATACAAAAATGGGTCAAGATGACCCATATACCCAAAATAATAATTTTTTAGACAATAATCTCTCTTAAGACTATCACGTGACAAAAACGAGTTAGGTTAACCCGTATACCAAAAAATGTAAAAAATATATATAAATGTAAAAAATAGTATAGATAAAGCTGACTTTGACCCAATCCACCTTGACCCTAATAGGTACCTTTAATCCAACACACCTTAACCATTTTCCATTGACCCTAATGGGTTACTTGACCCATGACCCGCCAATAGATTGAGTGGGTTGGGTGGGTCAAATGGGTTGGGGTCAAGATTGCCAACCCTAAATGTAAATGATATATCTATAAAATTGATGCAGTTTACATTCATTCTCACTTAAAAATTTTCAACAGTCCATTAGTTTTAAATTGATGGACTTTTACACGATGGATTTACTATCAATTAACTTTTAAATGGTGGATTTTTCCACTGCATTTAAACACGATATAAGTGTTTTCTTGTATTCTTAAGTCCTTCATTTTAAATTTTAATTTAAAAGTATTTTTTTTCTTTCTAGGCATTAAATGAAAAGAGACAAGAGATATTAAATTAAGGAGAATTGTCCTATATGTAATAAATTTAGTCAAAAAATGAGATCAATGAGAAAAAAAGAGAAAAAAAGGTGGTAATCCCAAAATCATTAGATTATGACAAAATCCTAGGCTTCTATACTTTTAAATTTTAAATTTAGTATATGTTTGGCATCGATGCTATAGATACAACACACGGTGCTGCTAATGTATGGGCTAAAAGCACCATTTTTTTAGAAAACAATGTCCTCTTTCTATTTGGAAACGTTGCTAATAGATAGGACGTTTCCTGGATAAACAACAACACTTTCTATTTGGTACCAGTGCTCCATGCATATTTTCAGCATTGATACCCATTATAGGAAGTCCACATCACGTCCTCATTGGTAGCAATGAGTTGCAATTTGAGAAAATGTCAAAATTGGCATTGCTCCAAACCACACATTCTTGATTTCCAAGGCGTGGCTTGGAGCACTATTTTTTATGGTAAAACGGTTCCAAACAAACAAGCGTTTCTTAGAGCACCGTTTTTTTGTGTGATGTGGCACTGATGTGTTTAGAGGTGTAAATCGGGTCGTGCCTCCCACGGGCCATACCATGCCTAATATGATCGTGTGGGCCATGTTGGGCCTTGGGTTTTAGGTCCACGGGCCGGTCAGTACGACATGATCGAGCGGGTTGTGTCGTTAGCGGCTCGCGTGCCGACACGGCCCAAACCGTATCCTAGTCCATATATATTATATATTTATATAATATTATATAAATTATAATTATATAATATATTAACAAAATAAATATTTTTTTAATTTTATTATACTAATTTATTTAATTATTATATATAAGCAATTGTGTACATCAAAATTCATATAAAATTAAATTTTTAAGTTTTTTGTCAATTTTTTAAATAATTAAATAGTTTTGACCCGACTTGGCCCATGGCTCGGCCCATGGGCCAGCCTAGCATGGCTCGCTTTATACCTCTAGATGTGTCACTGTTTTATAGAGCAACAATATCAATGCCAAATATACGCTTAAAGTTTTTTCTTTATAGGCATTAAATGAAAATGGGCAAATTTATCCCCTAGGTAACAAATTCGATTAAAAAAGTGGACCAATGAAAAAGAAAAAGAGAAAAAAGTGGCAGTCCCCAAACCATTAGATTAGTATCAAGAAATTGTAGCCTTCTATCATTATGAATTTAACTTTAAAGTTTTCTCTTTATAAGTAAATTAAGGGGAGTTGTCCCTATATATGTGTGTGTATACATACACACAAAAATGGAGATATTCAATGATATATTATTAGGCTAAATAATTTAATACTTGATCAAGTAATTTATATTTCAAAAAATTATTAGTTCATTCATACAAAAAATAAAGTCAGTGTTTTAAAATGAACTTGAAGGTTGAATAGTTTTTGCATCTGTCACAAGTCAACGGTTCAACTATCCAGATTGTACAAATCAAACCATGACACATCATCCATCTATATATGTATAATATGATATCAATATAAATATGTTTTGTGTGTGTATATATTATTTTGGGTTCAATTTGTAATTTTTTATTTTAATTTTTAATTTTTTATAAATAAAAAACCAAAAAATAAACTTTGAAACAACAAAATGAGTTTTTTTTTTCACAATTGGGTTATAAAGATCATGAAAATTTAACTAAAATAAAAAAGATCTCCCCAATTAGACAAATGAGCACAAAGTTAAGTCCTTTAGAAGTTTTCAATACATTGATATTATAACCCATGACCTACCTAATGACTAGATCAAAAGGGTTAATTGCCTAGCTTAAATGGGTTTTGACCAAATCAATGGGTTTTGACAAAATTAAACATTATAAAAATTATAATCCATTTATATTCTATTTAAAATAATAAAAAATAATTAATCATAGTAAAAATAATTTATAAATTACTTACATAAGATAAAAATAATTATTAATTATTGTTATTGATAAAAAAACTTTATTAATATAATATCATTAAAAGAAAATAAATTAAAAAAATGTAATAAGATAAATTAAAAACTAATATCCATTTATAATTAATATAAAACTAATACAAAATTATCTAACAATTATTAGTCTTATGTTTTTTTTACTAATGAAATTAAATTCCATTGAAAAATATAATTTTAATATTAATTAATGAAATTTAATAAGAATTAATAAAAATACAAATTAATAGAAATTTATTTAAAATAGGGAAAATTCGATTAATTTAAAATCAACTTAAATTATATTTAAAATAGGGAAAATTATAAGATCTTCTTTGGGTTTTCTAACAATCTTATGAACCTCCCCTATATATGTTTTGACCTTAACAAAAACCACCCATATTGTTTTGGAAAAGGATCCAAATATTTTCCCTCATAGCATTCGAAATAGAAAATGTTGATATAATGCATGAATTTTCCTTAAATACCAAATTTACCCTTAACTAACTTTATTTAGAAATAAATATAAAGAAAAAATATTTTGTTACCTAAAAATAATACAAAACAATTATAAACCATAAAATTTTAAAATTTAATAAAAATTAGCATTAAGATACAAAAAATAATACTGATTTATCTAGAGCAATAGAAATTGGTCACTCAATTTTAAAATTTTAAAATTTAAAATTGGTCACCCTCACTAAAGTGGAACATGAGTTGAGATCGAATAAATTAGACATATATAACTCAAAAAAAAAGTTTGAATTAGACTTAAATAAGATTTAGAAGGTCATAAAGCTTCTTTATCAAATTTTCTTAATACAACCCCACACGAATCCCAACTAGTTGACCTTAAAACTCTTAAGGTCAAAAACAATGCTGAAACAAATCTTGACAAGATATGTTATTACCAAAACCTAAAAACTACCTTATATCATGTTCTACCTTAAAATTGACCAAACCGACCTGTGTTATTGGAAGAAGCCCCGAGAACGAGGTTTAAGGGTTTGTTTGGTTTATAGTTGAAATTAAAATCGAAATCTTTCGAAATCATAATTGAAATGGTTTATTTCCATAGTCTATTTGGTTTAGACAAGAATGAGAATGAGAATTAGAATCAATAGGAATGAGATTTCATTCCCATGAGAAGGGCAGAGAATGAGAATTAGGGGTGTAAATGTATCAAATTTGAATCAGATTAGGCAATATCTGAATTTGAATTCGATTAAAAAATTTGATATCCGAATTCGATTCGATATTCGATGAAAATTAATATTCGAATTCGAATCCGATTAAATATTCGAATATTTGATTCAGTTTGAATTCGACTAGTTAATTATTTTAGATAATTAATAAATATATAAAATAAATATTTTATTTATATAAAGTATATAAATATATAAATTATTTACATAATTTAATTATTAAATAAATAAATTATATAAAACATTAAAAAATTTTTATATTATATATAAGAATTAAATAATCAATCGAATTCGGATATTTATCGAATTGAATCAGGTCATATTCGAATTTGAATCCGATTAAATATTCGCATTATCCAAATTCGATTTGATTATGTCAAATCTCGAATTTAAAATTGGATTTTCGAATACCATTAACACCCCTACAAAGAATGACGATTCCCTCAAATGGGGAAATGGCATTTCAATAAAAATGGAAATGAAATTTTGATTCCATCCAATCAAATAATTAAAATCGGAATTGCCCATTTGGTTCCAATTCCAGACCTCTATTATCGCAAACCAAACAGGGCCTAAGTTTTGGATTGGGCTTGACCATCAACTACACCCAATCCTCTTGCTTTTTGAACCAAACACAAACTACAGCCTTCTTCGGTTCCTCTGGCGCCTTGAAAAAATATAAAAAGATAAAAAGAGAGACGACAGCGGCTGCTGAAGTTGAGTTGGGAGCCGGAGCGCCGGCACCGTGAACATCTCCGGCGAGGAGGACCACTATCAGATATGCGAAGGAAGCTCTACAACCGAAACCTTCCATATCTCTTTCTTAGGTTTTTTCACCTCGCAATCCCATTCGTAGGATAAAAGAGAGACGAGAGACTCCGTTTCTGAGTGTTAAATGAATGGTAGAAGCTTCAGAACCAGCCAACAGTCATCCAGATTTTCCTTGGGATCCCATTTTCCTTCTATTCTTCGTTGTTTTTGCTTCCGAGGCTTAGCTAGCTCCTAGCTGTCTCATAACTAAACAAAAGGAATCATAGGGTAAAGATTACCTGCCCCATATAAAGGTTAAATCTGGAGCGTTGGTTTTAATGGTGGAATGGGTGAGAGCCACAGATATATTCGAATCCGGCGGATAATATTTGGTCCTCATGTGCGACTTGCGCACTACATCTTTTGACTATTTTAGTCTTGTCTGTAAACATTCCTTCTCGGCGCAGCGGAAGAAGATCGAGGTGAAGATGGCGATGATGATGATGATGAAAGTGGTGGTGGTGGTGGTGGCGGTGATGCAGGTCGCTGCGAGTGATACAAACAGGGCTTTCCAGCCGTGCTCGGATACGAAGATACAGAGATCGGATGGTTTCACCTTTGGGATCGCATTCGCTCCTAGGAATTCGTTTCTCTACAACAATTCGCAGAATCTCTCTCCCTGCGACCGGCGCCTTAGTCTCTCGTCTTCAGGCTCTTCACTCGCGCTCTTCAGGCCCAAGGTCGATGAGATCTCTCTTCTAACAATCAATACCACCTCCAACTTCTTCCCGGTACGATTTTTGGGACTTCTTTCCTTATCAGGAAAACATAACTAATGTTTACGGGTTTTAATTCTGCATTCTGTTTATCTTGGARSTGTTTGTTAGGTATAGTCAGATCAGTTCTTTGCTTAGACCTTTGCAGATTTTGTTATCTTTCTTTATTGCTGCGGTTTAACTTTTTCTGTTATTACAATTGGGGCATTTGTGGGTTAAAGTACTTATAATCCGAGAATGCTGTTAGGGTTGTTGACTTTGTGAGAGCATTGGATCTATTTTTGAGGAGATGCGCTATATGCTTTTAGGTAGAACTTGAGAACTTGCCTTTGAATTAGAGATAATGTGATCTAATGGATAAGATTATTCGAGGAATTTTAGATCCACTGAGGACTCCAAAATGCCAATTTGTCTCAGTTCATGACAAACATAGAGCAAATGTGCTGCCTTGTTGTTTGCTGCTATGCTATATGATTTGTCCTTTTGATCCATGGGGAGATGGAAACTAAAGCCACTATTATGTTAAGTTGTGGCTAATGGTTTGGGGACTCTGGTATAGATCTTGGAAGGATGGGAGATGTAGAGGAAAGTCTATATAGCTGTCAGAGGTGTCAGAGGTTAATTTACCAAATATTCATCCTAGTACACATTGTTATGGTCTTATGGGTGCGAGTATTGGAATTTGGCACAAGGCTACGGGATTTTTTTTTTTTTTTGTTTAATTTTCTTTTTGGTAGTTGTGGGATGTTGGATTTGCAATTATTTTTGATGGATTATGACGTGTCATTCTGTTCCTTGGTGAGATGATTTTTTTTTTCTTTTCTTTTCATTTAGTGTAAAAAGAAAATCAGCAGCAGTATATTCAAGTAACAAAAATATATCCATTGAGGTTCTAAATAACCCCTCCTAGTCTGGTCTTCCTGGATTTTTCCCCAAGGCTGCGACTATCAAAGTTGAGTTTGATGTTCTGATGAGGGGCCATCTAAGATTTAAGATCTTTGCTCCTATTAGTTCCAATGCTTTTTCTTCTTTCACCATTTCTTGATACAAACAATTCGTAACCATATGCCTATTTTTTAGCATTAAAATTCTATGCCAAGAGTTGCTTTTTTTTGTTGACCCCTCCATCCTCTTAAGGAGAAATATTGTCGGGTTTTTATATTATCTCATTATTATTTATACTTTTGGATTAGTAAAATTGAAATTTTGCTAAGATGTCTTAAACAATGGTAATAATGTAGAAGATGAATTTTCAAGTACCCCTCTAGTTACCCATGGTATGGTTTACAATATTACAGTCAGTCATCTTGTTATCCTACCAGGCAAGGCATTTGCTGATCCATATGTTCACATGAAAGTTTCCCTGACCTCATCTAGTATTCTTTTTGCCTCCCTTATCGCATATACCCATGGACCTATTTTGTTTAAACTATCCCCACTGCTACTTCAGAAAAATGCTCTAAATGAGGAGGCATGATCCATGGCATTCCACTCCTTGGATTTGTGAGGACAAGCCATGAGCATGTATTTTTTCATAGTTATAGTAAAACATAATATTCATGAAAGATATTTTAAACATGATTTTATAAAAAATATTTTAAACATGATAGCATGCATAAAACTTAATTTTAATTGCCAAATTGTCAATAGACTCGATATTTGAGTTCTCGATCCCAAGTTCAATCTTTGTTTAACTTTAAACTTTAAGGGAATATGATATTGAACTACTAAAGTTTATAGTAAGAAAGTAACAGTGAGAATAGACAGGGCAACTCGATTCTGGCGATTCAAATGCAGATGGAGGAAATACAAACTATTTTGTTTGCATGAAGTGGCTGCTCTCAAAATTGAAGCTTCAGCATCTTGTTGCAAGATGTGGCGGTAGAGTTTTTCTTCTCTGCAAAATGTTTCATAAAAGTTTTTCTCGGGGCGTTCAAAGGGGAGGAAAGAGATGGGAAGCTTAGAACTGGTACAGAGAGAAGGCATGGGGGCATGGTCAAGACCAAACTTCTCCTATAGAAAAGCGATGGAAGCAGGAGTTTGGCAGGATTGGGGAAGTTCTGATTTGAAAAATGTTGAAGGTAAGCCTATGATTTTTACAAAGATGAGCGGGGTGGAGGCTAGAAGGAACTTTTTAAGGGATTGCTTAGTTGAAAGATTTTGGGTGGAAGGTTGGGTTACAGGAGGTGGAGAACTGGGCAAATAAAACCTGGAAGGATGTGGGGGGAGTGAAGGTGAAGAAGTTGGCGGATGAACTCTTCTTATTCATTCTACCTTCCAGAGTAGAGGCGAAATGGATTCTTGACAAAAGTCCATGGTTAATGGGGAGGAATCCTCTTTTTCTTGATTGGTGGGGAGCTAGCACAGGTTGTTTTTATCCAGAGTCGGAAGGGGACTTTGATCGGTTGGACGATATCCAGATTAGGGTGTTCGGCCTGCCTCTTCTTCTATGGTGCTCGAGTGTCATCAGAGCAATCAGGGATGCGTGCGGTAGTTTTCTCGAAACCGATGGTACTCCCTCTGAGCTAGCTACATGCGAGTGGATTCGAATGAAGGTGAAGAAGGGGGGCTCGGTTCCTGAGAAGGTGGAGATCGTAGCTGGGGAATCTCTCTTTTCAATTTCCATATGGCCTGAAATCTTACCGTCAGTTCGGAGGTGGAAGATGGAGAGATTCACAGAAGAGGGAACTCAAAAGGACAAGGCGGACTCGATGGTTTCTAAGACAGTTGTCTTAGAGGACGTCAGCGAATGCTCTCTACAGCATGACCTAGGAGGAGGATTTGTGCCGGTGAGATCGCTGGAGATGGATGGAGAAGATGATTGGACCTGTGGTTCTAATAGGAACCGTTCGATCCCAATATCAACGGAGGGTCAAGATTCAAAAGTCAAGGAGGGTCTTGAGGGAGGAAGTGCATTTGTGTCGAAAATGGGTTCTCATGGGGATGGTGTGTTGGTTGAAGAACTCAAAAATTTATAAAAGAGTGTTTAAAAGATCTAAAAGTGGTGCCTATGGAAGAGTGCTTGCTGAAGAAAGCTAATGAAGTAAGACTTTTCTCAGAGGTTGGGGAGTGTGCAGATGTGGGGTTTTCGAAGCGGGTCTAGGAGTCCAATCCAGGTAAACTAAACCCATTTACCCGGTCCAGTCAAACGCATAGTAGAAAATTGAACCTTAAATCTGCAAGTGAACCAAGATGGGCCGGAGGTAAACCAAGACACTATAGCCCAACTAGATTGGAACCAGCTCATACTCTGGGTAGCTTTGAATCGACGTGGATTACCCAGCCCCCTTTGCTGGCTGGGCGGAATGGACTTGACACTTCGACGAATCAGTCCTCTCCTTCCCCTGAACCTGAAGCAGAGCTCAGAGGTGATGGTTTGGAGCTCTCGGCTCCCCTATCTTGTTCTCCTGGAATGGTGAAGCCAATGAAAGCTGATCATAGAAGACTGCATCAGCCTTCTCTCTGCATGGTCCCTGTGAACGAGAGTTTGTTGGAGGTGACGCCGTTGGCGGTAGTGGATGTTGAAGATCAAATTGCAAAAAGGAGTGATGCTTTGGATCAATCTAGAATGATGGAGGAAAATGAGAAAAGCCAAGTTGCGACAGATAAGAGAGAAGAAAATAGCCAGAAAGAGAGTGTGGGAAACTCAAATCTCGGGATTGATGAAGCCGATAAGTCTAGCAACAACACTTCTATGCCTTCTTCCTGGGTTACTTCTAAACTTCTAGGGTTGGGAAGTGATGAGGGCAGATTTGGCCCTCCAGTGAAATTGCGACACGTGGCACCTCGTGACAA